TTTGTATGTATTCATATATAGCTTTAGCACATATGTATAAGTAGTTTTGGCAGTTTTTGTAAAAAAAAAAAGTAGTTTTGGCAGTAAATTAATCTTGGGATTTTATGTAATATTTCTTCTAATATGAAGTCCTCATTGATTTTGTTCGAATGTGATAAATATCACCATTACAAATACTTTCATGATGAAAAAACGATTGCTAAAAGTATATAATGGTCGTAACCAAAAATATTTGTCACTAATACTATTGCATATGTGACTATAATTTGTCACAAAAGTGATATGCTCGTGACAAAATTGAAGTTGTGACATGTGGTATATATTTGATGTCGGTGCCAACTTATCACAAAAGCTAGTTTTACTCAGGTCAATTTTGTCACAAATGTATAATGTTTGTTACCAGGAAAAGTTGTCACTATTTGATTAGTCTTATAAACGAAAAAAATTCGTCACGAATAAAGTGTACACATGTAGCTTGTACTCGTTAAAAGTGTTGTATAAAGTTTTTGAAGTGTTACCTAAACTGGTGTTGCATAAGTAATATGCATATGCAACATATATTTTTTGTGTTGTAAAAAATGAAAAAATGTTACCTATGACTTTATACAACACCACCTATAGAGGACACTACCAAAAGTGTTGCATAATATATATGCAACACTTTTCACAGTTTATGCAACACAGTTTACCTGTTGCGAAGTCTCTTTTCCGGTAGTGGTAGCAGTATAGGAATTGTAAACATGGTTTGGTTAATCATGTATGGAATTCTCACAACTGTGTCCTACTATTGATGCACCATAGAAGAAATCAGGTTCTAGCTAAAATTTCAGCCCACATCGAACAGAACATGAATATATAAGTAAAAGTCGTAGTTCTAAATTGCATTCTTATATGGGCAATCACAACATAAGCCAACAAAGTTAAATGGAATATTACCCCAGGATACTTAGTGAAATACCTATGTAAGTCCATATACATACATAAGCAATTGCTTTGACATATTTGTTGTTGCAGCTACTGCTTCATTACCTGTTTAAAAACAGTGATTCTATAAGTGGCATAATAGAAAGACCATCAATGAATCAAAGTAGGTGCTGAACTAAGTATAAAAACCAGAGTTATGTGTACCTTATGGAATACTGAAAAACATTTGATGAGTCAGGCAGATTAGGTTGCTCATAGAACCTCTCATATTAAACTGCATACAAAGAGACCCATGACTGCTAGGAGTGCAAGACAAAATCAGAACAACTACCAGAAGCAACCAAAGTTTGAGAAGCGGCAAACATAGATAAGGTTTACTGAGCAACCAGCTTGAGTAGCAGCTGAGCGCAGTAATAGGAAGCAACAGGTCACCCCTGTAACGCGATTTCAACCAAAGTTCATCCGTTGCTTTCAGGGATCATACTAGTTGCTTCATTTTTACAAGTTACTCAGTTGACAATTCAGCATTAATTAGAAAAACCAAACAGAACCTCAACACTAATGAATCTTGTGACATGCGAATCCAGAAAATGAGAGATAACAATAATAGCACCATTGGAAGCTTATGCATCAATCTTACCATTGCAACCAACAACGAACGACACTTTGTCCAAATCAAGTAGGAGCCTCACTTTAACAACATTGCACCAGATCTGTGTGTCTTCAAACTCACTCTCAATAGATCTAGCAAGCACTAGGTCTGCCGCAATCAGCGCAGGAAAACAGCTGGCAAGCCCCTTTAGTTTTGTTGGATTGCAAGAGCTTAAACAAAGAGAGAAAGGAATGAGAATCGACAGCATACCTTCAGTTGCCGGCGATAAGTAGCACACAAGGAAATAGTCAACAAGGAGAAGATGAAAGGTCCTCTCAGTGGCGTCCACAAAAATATCTCCCAACAGAAGGTCCTCTCAGTGAATCGCAGAAGCCTCACCTTAGCTTGAAAATCGAAGCTCCAGACTTGAGATTGGAAACTCGTGATTCAAGAGCCCATGATAGATATTAGAGAAGGATATGAGGAGAAGATGGGAAATGAATGAAGATTAAGTAGAAAATCAGAGCTTTGAGGCGGCTATGGTGGAGAATTGGGCACCGATTTAGGCTAACAAGGGTTTGGCTCTTTCCTCACATGAGAGAGTGAGTCGAGTTTCGTTCTCCTTTTAGGCAGAGTAAGGGTGACCCGGTTTTAGTATCTCGGGCGTGTAAAATTGTGAAAAGGAGGCGGGGGTTATCGCTGGTGAATTCTTTTTGGAGCCAATTGAAAATTTTAGAGCCTGAAATTTTGGAGCCCTTTATAATATGGCGGGAGGCAAAATGTTTGACAGGGAATTTTGGAGCAGCAAATCTTGGGGGATTTTTTGGGAGGGAATGTTGAAGGTTAACCTTTAATATTTATAAACTATAATTTATAGATTAACAAGTTTTAATCTATACAAATTAGCATTTCTTAAGGAGGCCGAGTACATTTGCATGATATTGTTTAAAGGTAAATGATCACATTAATCATGGTAATTTACCGTAATTTACAAGTAGTCACAGGAAATAAAGATCGAAAACAGCTAAATGAAGATTGGTGGTTAAGGTTAGTTTTAGGTTTTAGATTTACAATGGTGTTATAGGGTTAGGGTTTCTTCATGGTTATGCTTTACGATAGATATTTTGATTTTTATAATTTATTAATTAATTTGATTTTAATGATTAGTTTAACTTGTGAATGTACATCTTAATTATATCATATTCAAATGGCATTCCGAGTTCCGACCAATGGATCGAACAACAAACTAGTTAATCGATATAAAATTTATCATCATAGACTATAATAATAAATATAAGGAAGAACTAGGTGTTAAAGGAAAGTTTTTGAACGCAAAATTCAAAGCCCCCAAATATTTGCTCAAAAGGAAGAACTAGTTTTGAGCTTTTTTGCCGAGTGAAAAAAAGTTGTGAGAGAAAGTTGTGAGAGATAGACATGATGGTGGGAATTGTGAATGTTGGGTTTCTAATTTATAGTAGGTGAGAGGTGAGATCTGATTGGTGGTTCCTAATTGGTGCGGATTGATGACGTGGATAGCACAACCCGTTGGATGGAGGGGTTCATGGATGGACGGGCAGGATTTATTTGTTGTTAAGCGGGCTTTTCGAAATTTTCGACGCCTTTAATTAATGCGAATTATAATTTCGTGGAGAGATATTATTAGTTGACAGAGGTGAAGCAGGATTGATGACGTGGATGATCTGAACCGTTGGGTTAAGTGGGGGGTTTTGAGCAATCACACGAATTGAAGTTATCTTTGTGAGATTAAACTCAGTAGCATCTAACTTTCATAATGCTTGATAATCTCGGGTTGAGGATATGCCAATTAGTGGGTTTATGATCAAGCAAGTTGTTAGCTTTTTAATTTCTTGTTGCTCAACTATTTATTTATGTTAGTTATGTAACCTTAATGAATCCTCTGCAAGGTACCAACAACTAGCAACATCAAACTTGTTCATGATATATTCAAGCAAAATATAGTCACTCATTTGTTTAATAATGTACTTTCATGTTTTTTTATTGCAATATGGCGATCGGTGAGTTTATTTTAAATTAGTGTAATAATTAATTATAAAAAAAACTCGATGGTTTGGACCGAACAACCCGCAACTCGACCTGTTATAACCCGCGATCCGATCAACCCGAACCCGATTGATCCGCGATCCGATCAACCCGAACCCGATTGATCCGCAACCCGATCAACCCGTAACCCGAATGATCCGCAACCCGATCAACCCGCAACCCGATCAACCCGAACCCGATTGACCCGCAACCTGCTTGACCTGCAACCCGATTAACCCGCTACCCGACTGAACCCGACCCGAACCCGCCCAAACCCGCCCGATTGACACCTATATTTGCAAGCATGGAGTTGAGGCCGCCACTAATGTATTTTTTGTTTTTAGCTAGACTATAATGATATATAATTGTGTTGTTCATGGAGATACAATTTTGTATATCGATCTTACTCAACGTAGAGATTTTTTCTTTTCAAGTTTGATATTTAACTTTTGTGTCAAGGAGCAATGATTTCATATTTCACCGACTAGGGGTGGAATATGAAAATTAAATATGATCTTGTATTTTTTTTTCACACAAAAAGAAAAAGATACAGATAAAATTTACTAAAGGTGTCCACTTTTAATGAATCGATTATTCTCCACTCTCTCGATTATAGTGTTTTATAAACTAAAAAAATTCTCAGATAAAACTAATTAGGTGTATGTTTGATTTTGTTGGCTACTTTAATTTTTAGCCTCTCACTTTTCACATACTATTATATTATAAAGTTAATTCAGTAAATAAATATAAATAGAGTGGTTATTGTGGATTTTGTGGGTTAACCGCAGTAGGTTATAGGTAACCACTAACAACAAAAATCATTATTTTACTACTCACACCAAACCCACTAACTACAATGGGTATGAGTTAGTGCGGTTTGGCGATTATCCACAACCCGCAACCCAAACTTCCACCCTTACCCACGGGTGATGAATCACCATATAAACACATATAATTGAATTGAATTGAATTTGATCCATTTTCTTATTCATCCCTGTTTCACAATCTTTGGATTTGATAAAAGAAGAAAACCATTAACAAGCCAGTTTCAATTTCAAACGTTCTGTTCGTGGAAGCGATTTGTGTGATTGGACTGGACCGAATTAATCTTTGCAAGTCCACACAAAATAGAATCGTTAGCCCAACACAAATATTGAACAGAAACAAGCGCAAGCAAATATCCCAGGTTTCGGGCCGCCCATCTCATGGTCCATACACAATGTAATTGGGAAGAAACTGAAGTTTGTACTTCTAGGCCACCTATATTTTTAGTTTCACAGCTTTTAGTTGACTCCTGTATTATTTCTGCACATTAATGAAATAATACAGGTATTTCTATAAAAAATATATACCAACTTGGAAGCCGCAGTGAAGTCAACATTGGAGTTGATAATTGGCTTCCTCTTGGGGCCACAAAGGATCTGTTAAATGGTGAAAGTCAGTGAAGTCAACACTGGAGCAGTACTCTTCCAATCGTAATCTAAAAAGGAAGGAAACAAATATGCAAAAGATAAACTTTATAATGTTAATGCCATTATTCCAAGACAGAACGTTGAAAATTTACTCGGATACATCGAGCAATTCCTTTAGTACATACAACATCAATGGTTGGATCTTCTACCGACTCTCTAATTGCAACTCAAACTGGACAACAGAATACTACAGATCAAGACCAGCAGCAGAGACTTGTACAGTACAATAATCAACTTGCAGACTCTGCAGACTGGGGATGCCACAATTTCCAGTAGCAAGCATATTAAACAAGATAAATTCATGTCAAGTTTAAGGGAATGTGCAAGTGAGAGGGACTTCTTCGAGGATATCTTTTATTCAGCAGCAATGGGACATTGACTTCTCGTATTAACTCTCTCTGTAGAGCGCAGTCAAAGAGGAAGAGGACGTACTGATGAAAATCTCAAGGATGCAGGAGGCTGAGCAGCACGTTTCAACACTGATAAATCCTAATGAAGCAAGGAAAACCAGAAAGGCTGACTGACTAATATTCCTGATCCATTAGGATATGATGTCTCACGTTAACCATTCCAAGGATAACAGCAACACCACCGTTTTCCCAGTGTTAAATAGCATGAGAGGCACTTGAAAAGATTCAGATGAAAGAAACCGAGCCTCATGTTAACTCGTAATGTTCCTATCTCCAATCTCGGATTTCAGAACTTAATCATGGTTGCACACAAGGAGACAAGTCCGCAGACCTGAAACAGCCTCTACAGCGAGTGTTCAAAGAGACAGCTGCCCCATGCTCCTGTTGTTTGTTGACAATCCATGTCCTGACCTTCGGTCTTCCTGCTGCTCATCATACGGGTTAGCCCTATAATGAGAGCTAGCCTCCTCATTGTCAGAAGAACCTGGTCTTTCAGTCAAGAACTGTTCCCAGAACACATCATTCACACGACCTGGAGCAGCAGACGCGATGTTTGGTTTCTCATCAATACTCATACTTCGATCTCTTGGTAAAGACCTCATGTCCGGTTCTTTATCCTTGACACTATTAAACCTCAACTCTGGAGATGTTCTGACTTCCAGATGACCTACTTGAGCCGTTTTAGATGAATGGTTACTCTCTACTTGTAAAGAACAGGATGCCAGAGAGAGATTCAAGTGGCATGATATATGACCATCAGCTTCATCATAACTACTCAAACTCGGTGGAACTTTCCTAGGGAAAGCTGAATCAACCACAAACATACACGAAGTTCCGGTATCTGAAAGGTCTAAGGTTTCTGGTGCCGAAAATAGCAAACCAGGTGTCCTCAATGGTCCATCTTTGGGCGGCTCTAGTTCGTTAAATTTTCCTTGTGCACTAGCCCCCTCTTCATTTGAGCTCTGAGTGCTGTGAGAGATGAAATTAATATCTGAGACAGCAGGAGATAACTCTAACCTCAACTTATTGGAGAAATCTTGGTGATTGATGGCATTTCCAGATTCTGGTTTAGAACTAGAATCAAACGCACTGTCAACAGCTGGCCTTGATTGAACAGCTTCAGGTAAGCGTCTCTTCTTGCTGTAAGCAGATACATCCATCGCTTCAATCTTCTCGGTGAGAATCCTAACGAAGGAAGGATTCTGAACAGCTTTCTCTAAGAAGGATAACAAACTGTCTTGCCTCTGCGAAAGGGTACCCACTCGCTGCGTGAGATCTTCCAACTGAGCTTTTTCAGTCGACCTCTGCTTCTCATACCCTACAAGACTAGCCTGAAGCTGAGCCTTCTCGTGGGAGAGCCTCTCGATCTCTTCATCAAATGCTGCTCTTTCGGGATCCAAAGAACCACCTTGAGGATGACTGTGGCTGTGGATTGGCTTCCGTCTGTGGATATTTTTCAGAAGATGCTTCTGATCTTTGATAAACTCTTCATTCGCGAACTCCCATTTCTCAGGATCAATCTTCCTGAATCCCTGTCACAGAAATCCCAATTTAGATTCTTCTGGGGCATTCAGAATCCAGGAAACCCATCCCATTACAGAACACTGTTGTTAATAAACAATCAATGCGAATCACATGGAACATCAAAACAACACAAACTAACCCCAATTTAAACCATTCTGGAACCCCACACACTGAAAGATTCAACCACCAATTCGAAACTATAATTGGGGGAAAACGAGACAGAGAGAAAAGGAAGAGCAAAATTGGAGCAGGGTGACTTACGTAAGTGTTCAATTGGCGGATGAAACTGGAGAAATTGTTGTGCTTGAAGTAGGTAGGAAGGAGGCGCCGCGCGAATTCTGGAGGATCCCAGACCACAAAGCTGTTGTTGGCCGGGCTCCACGAGACGATGTCGTCGGTGGAAGAGTCATCCACCATGTCGTACGTCTTCATCAGGAAAGGGGCAGGCCCTCCTCCTCCGGCGGCCGCCGAGGTTGGTGGGCTCGCCTCCATGCGGCTGCCCAGAGATTACTCACCTGGGTTCCGATTAAAGTTGCCGGATCGACGGCGGAATTACGCAAAGCCGACGACTTTATTGATGGCAGTTGGAGAATTTTGGGGATCAACCAAAGCCGAGGGCTGAGCAGCAGAAGCAGGAAGTGGGAATGGATGGCGGCGATGTTGGATCTCCAAGAGACGGCGGACGGAAGAGAATTTTTAGAGATCACGCGATTGGTTGGCTTCAGCCGGCGATCCTACCTGTAGCCTGTCGGTCAAATTTGTTGTTGACGGTACGATTTTCTCCGTTAGTAGGTGAGAAAGATACTTGGTGAGGCGTTTCTCTTTCTCAATTTTCCAACCAAACCTAATTTGAGAAATGTTCAATTCGGAGTTATCTGCACAACATTCCAATTTCTTCACTACTAGCTTGGACCCGGCCAGTTGGCCGGAATATTCACATTTATTTGGGGAAAATATCTCAATTCTTATTTTTTTAGAGATTTTTATTGGGTTAATATAGTGAAAATCTCCAAATATTGCTATAAATTATGAATGTTTCACAATCATTCTATTTAATCATTTGTTGAAATCTTTTTTACTTGATTTACATACTTGATCAAGATTTTCTATCACTTCACATTTATGAATTCAATCCTTAACCTATTATAATTTTGTTTCAACCAAGTGGAGTAAATGTGGTTATGAGAAATGCGATATGAGTTTAGATAAGTGTATATCTATCTATAACTTCTTGCCACATAAGCACTTGGTGAATGCACAAGTTGCCAAGGTGGACAATTGTTTTACAAACAAAAAACTATTTATTGATCTATTTATGAAGCTATCTCTCTCTTCTTTTAATAATTCTACTCATTTTTACTAAAATTAAAATAAGTTAATTTTTTAGGAAACATTAAAACAAACAAACACTTACATAAGTAATCATCTTTTTTTCAATTAAACAAACTATAAAGATGGAAACAGAGAGTGATATATCGTATTTGTTTAACCCAAGCTGATTAAATCTGATTAAGTAAAATTTCTACTCATTTTTACTAAAATTTAATAATAAGTTACATTTTTATGAAGCAAAAAAAAAAAAAAAACACACACACACACACACACATAAATAATAGTATTTTCAATTAAACAAAATAGAAACGATGGTCTAGGAGAAAATAAGCGTTTGATAATCAATCGACTTTGAGAAATGATCGATATGACTAGATGTTTTTTTTTGCTATCAAACACTCACTTCTTTCTAATGTATATACCTATCAAATAAAACAAGTATAAATTTTATAGCAAATTTTTTTAATATAAACTTGAGAGAGCAATAATTGTTATTTTTTTAAAAACTTCTTATTTATTCTTCTGATTAAATAAAAACATATTAATTATTAATGCAAACTTTTAATTGGATTATGTCCCCTTTCCCATTTTGATTGTCTCACTAGAAATAAAATCCAACCACCATAAAAAAACCAAACCCTCTTATTAGTTGCTAATTTTTTTGAGATTTCTAAATTTTTTATTTTCATGTATTTCTTCTTTGTTTTTCAAGGAGAAGGGTCATCATATACTTATATTTAAATATATAAAATATAATTAGAAGGGTTCATTGGTTGGACTTAGGGCATATCTCATTTAATTGAATAATTGATCGTTTTTCTTGAATGCCTATTGCAACCCGATTTCTTGAATGTTGAAATAGAAAGAAGAGTTTGTGATAGTTGTTTATTATATTTTATGTTCATGATTGACATTGCTACTAGCTAGCAATACAATGATGATCTGTTTAGTAATTAGTAGGTAGCAAAGAAGTTATAAGTAGAAGGGAATATAATTGGGGTTTTATAAAGGTCGCGAAGAATAAAGAAAATTATAATGGTGGTTTCTCGGTTGTCTATTTCGATGTTCTTTTAATTTCTACATGTTTGCGGTGACATTTGTTTGTTTCATTAAGGTGAATTTTTCCGCATTGAATCCCTAACTAAAGCTTGATCTTGACATGATTGTTTTCTTACAAACTACTATTTGGATTGATGCATATATTCAGTTCACAAATGAGGAATCTGCATGATAAAATGAGTTGAGTTGTATTGAAGACTACTTCTTTCATTATTTTTCTATGTTGTTATTAGGTAAAAATCACAATTCTTTTCTGCAGGAGATATGTAGCTCTCTACAAGATATAAATTGTATTTAAGTATATGCAGTTTAATTTGCTGAAAAATATTGCTTTAATAAGTTTGTGACAGCTGATAGTTTTGTTTGTGGTTGGTTTCTAGAACATTTCAGAGGTAATTAAACGAGTACATGGAAGATTGATGGACGTGGATGCTAATGAGTTTCCTCATTATTCCAAAGTTGTATGTGTAAGTGATAATACACGATATTCATGGGATTTAGATCGGAATATTCTCTATTATCGTATACCGACATATGAGAAGGGAGAGAAAATAAAAAGCTCTTCGCTTATTTTTTTATTAATTGAAGCATATTTTCTTATTCTAACTTCTTCTTTTGTGGCTGTAAATTTTTTAACTTCTTTATCACAATTTTGTGCTAAAGAATGAATAACTCTTATGTTTCTAATCTTAAAGGGCGAGTTCGATAAAAAAAATTCTAAATCAATAAAGAACAATCTACAAAGAGCTCAGTTAATAAAATTAAAATGTTTATAAATAAACAAAAGATATAAAAGTATGAAACAATACCTGAAATAAGGTAAGTGGAATTTACAATTCCATATATATTACCTTAACAAAGGGAATGGATCAGGTCAGTAACTTTGTGGTGAGTAACCATGAGTAACCCGTCCACATCAGCATGACATCCGCATCCTCTCTCTCATGGAAAGTCTTTAATTTTTCCCTCTTTAATCTTTGACGGACGATTTCTCGCTCATTTTAAGTCGAAATTTAATTTTTTTTGCACAGTTAGATCAGATTAATTGTGCTCTTCAAAATGATATCCACTTTAATATATTTTTCGAACAAAAAAAATTGAGTCATTTTTTACCAGCCTATACCATATGGTATTGACTGGTATTGAAATAAAAGCATACCTATGTTTTGAAAAAGTACCATGGTGGTATGAACAAACCAATACTGTAGGATGGTTGAATACATGATAGTAGAAATATATTAATTATAATTTACGACTTTTAACATTGTATACCACACAATACCACCTCGTACTAGGGTGGTATTGTATGGTATTTTTTGGTCCTGTAATTTGTTCACCCAGAAATTTGTAGATCCAATAGATCATGATGAACTCGTCCCTTCTATGCAAACGTTTTCAAAAACGAATTAAAAACGAAGAAGATACCATACAATACCACCCCGTACCAGGGTGGTATTGTATGGTATTGTGTGGTATTTTTTGGTCCTGTAATTTGTTCACCCAGAAATTTGTAGATCCAGTAGATCATGATGAACTCATCCCTGCTGTGCAAACGTTTTCAAAAACGAATTAAAAATGAAGAAGATACCATATGGTATGCAGTTGGTACCGAGAAGCCAGAATTTTTTTTCCTAAAAAAATATTGAAAATTGATCTCATTTTGTAGAGCACGGTGAACTCGTTTCATCTGTGCAAAAAAAATTAAAATCCGAGTTAAAACGAAAAAGATATGAGTCAATTAAGAAAACTAGTGAAAATAAAAATAGCCTTTAATTCTCCATCTTTAGATCTGGATTTTCTAAATGAAGGGTCCAGATTTGGTTATTGATGGGTGCATAACCCATGGTTATGCACCCTATCTTGAGCCCTTAACAAACATAAATAATAATAACAATTAGAATACTATAACGAGTTATAAAATAACCAAACAAAATACACCGGACAACGGGCGGGTAAAAAACTAGTATGGTATAAGTGTGATTTGGTGCAACTTTTGTCAATCAAAGTCAAAAACTACGACAATTAAACAATTTCACTACCTAATTAATGGAATATGAATACATCGTGTTGTGAGACTCTTTTCTGGCTATTTGGTAGGCTAGTGCGAAAAGCTTGAAAAGATTACAACAAAACTGAGTTTTCGTTAAATAAGAAAAATCGAATTTGTAACAAAAATCAAAGTGAAAACCAACTTTGTCATAAAATATCATGTTTAGGGAAGTGGATAGGTAGCAAAGTCCATGCTCATGCTCATAAAAGGAACTATGAGTTACAAAAAATCAAAGAAATATAATTAATTTTGATATCCTTATTTAAAATATCATGAGAACCTTAGCTAGAACCTATTAAAATACATTCCCAACTTGTGTTGTAGAGTGCTCTTTTCATATTCGGACACTTTTTTTATAGAATCTCCGATGCAGTTTTACAATACTAAAATAAATTCAATAATAATAAAGAATATTTAAACTATTGGAAATAATTTAAAACACATAGACCAAACTGCGATAAAATTTTGATCCGGTTACGATTTAAACATAAAATTTATTTCATTTTGACATGCGGTCAAACAAAGATTAACCTCGTTGACCAGGGGTAAACCAAAACCATTTTTCGGTTCAGCACTGGTCAAATCATGTCAACCCTCAGTTTGACCAAGGCCAACCGAAATTGAAAAAACACATGATGGTTCCCTAACACTGTATATATGTAGACCTGGCAATGTATAAGACATGAATTATATATGATTTCACACCATTAATTGACTGTAATGTGGGGTTAATAGAATACATAGTAATGTCTTACCAAGAGTCCAACAAAATTCATATTTTGTGATGGGTCATGGGTGTATGTGATAGTGGAATCTAATTTTTATTTTGGATATTGGCCCAAACAATTACATTAAAAACTCCAAATTCAGGTCTAGAAGTTTTTTTGTTTTAATCAGCAGGTCTAAAGGCTTCAAAATATACAACAACCGTCCAAATAATTAAACTGATGGGCTTTATGTGTGGGCTTAATGGAATAATATTAATTGAGTAGCCCATGCGCAGGTGCAGTGAAGTATTTGGGCGGGAAGAGATAAAATTAAAGTAATTAATGGACTATAATACCCCTAGCGAAAATTAAGGGGAGGCCAGCATTTTTTGAATGGTGGAAAGTCTACAAAACTCCACCATTAATAATTCTTTTGACTTTTGATTTGATTTTGATTTTGATTTTTTTTCCGTTGAATCAGTTACCCTTTTATTAAGCAAAGAATTACAAATAAGCAATCCAAACCGATACAACGAAATGGGTCACCATTGTGTTTCCCCAGCGGAAAAGATAAAAGATGAAAGAAGAAAGGTCAACCTAACCACTACATGCCGCTACTGCTACTGCAACCTTAACAGCCTCAAGTCCTGCTTCATTAATTCTTGAACCACCTCTGCCTCTCGAGCATGCTCAACATGACATCTTCTGCAGGCTTCATTAATTTCTTCACTATTCACCTCGCCTGGACCAAGTCATGTTAGATTGAATTTATCGATTCATAGATTAAATGAATTTTATCAAATGATTGGGTGGGTTTATTAATTTGATTATAGATACAACAAGTGACATTTAAATATTGGATCACTTTATAAGTTTAAAAAATTGCAGTATTGAAACATCATAATGAAAAACTTTAAGTATCAAAATGTATATTTTCAATGATATTTTATATTAAGGTATCACATATAAAATGTAACATTATAATTTACCAAACATCTATGAATCTACAAATTCAATTGGAATTGGATTAAATTGATTGGATTAAGTGAATATTTTATTGGATGGATATGATTAGATTGGTGGATTAGATACAAAAATGTCGCCTCTGCCAACAGGGCAACACCTACCATCCAATTGGAAATGACATTGTTGAATAAAGCCTCGACCAAACATTACCAAAACAAGATAGCTAAAAATTTGACGAATATGCCATGTTATAAGACCGAACCAGATTAGCGACTATAGTTGTAGGATCATCAAACCAGTTACAATAACAATTTGGTTTATTACGAACAAGGGCTTGGCCTAGTGGTAATGTCACTAGTCTAGAACTTGGAGATCCCAGGTTCGAATCCCTTAAGAGTACCTTAATGACAACAAAATGAAACCTATATCACCCTCATAAAAAAAATTTAGTTTATTTGCTTGGATGGCTAGAATTAGATAAGAGAAGAGCCTTGGGTAAATGATTTCGAATTGGGTAAGGGCAAACCATATTATTAGGTTAAACTAACCCAATTCGGTTATTTGATAAAATCGACTATAATTAGGTAAGAGAAGATACTTGGGGTTTCAAGTTTGTCAATACTCAAATGCTTAAGTAGGTATTTGTAGAAATGAAGAGGATATCTTACATATATAATTAGATTCTAAAAAGACAATGGTTTCCAACCTCATACATATTAATGGTGTATTTATAGCTTAGCTCTTAATAATTAGACATTATGCAACTTACTTATCTAACGTGTTATGATCCTTTGACGTGTGTTAGTCCTGTTAGGGTGTGTCCAACATACATATGTGTTAAATGATTGATTCATCATAGTCATATACAAAGGAAATTAGATGCATATATATTTCATCACCGACAACCAATACATAAGAAAAAAATCAAACGATGTCACACACCTAGACTCGACCCACTATGCAGTATAGTTGGGCGTCCTTTAATTTATTATAGTCGACCAAAGCCCAACCAGAAATCACAATCGATTTGATCGACATACCCACCCAGAACATTGCTAGTAAACAAACAAACCACAGTTACTTCATAGAGGCACGGGATCCACCAAGATATAAGTGAGTAACTCTTTCATGACGGTCTTGGAGTTCGTGTAAGTGTCCTCGTCCTTGTACAACAAGTCCATGACTCGCACCTTGTTGAGTATCGTCTTCAGAATCAACATCGGAGCCTCCAGAGGCAGCAACAGTTCTTCGTTCATGTCTTTCCACAGTTTCTCCACCAATTTGTTCAGCTTCGCGTGGGCTTCTTCCTTGGACACACCATACTGTTTGATATAACACTCGACTGATGAAGCCACGTGTCCTCTCTCTTGCTCAAACTGTCACAATCATCGGAAAGAGATCATCATATATATTGTCATCATTAGCTCAACCATGCATGCAAAAGTATATACCATACCTCGTGGGAGACAATGTCATCCATGAGCCGAGCAATGCTAGAACCGGAGACGAGGATCTTCGGCTGGCTGAACAGCCACTCGAAGACTTCTTTCGAAGCAACTTCTCCCATCCCACAGTAGATAACGGTAACGGCTAGGGGATAGCCGATGCTCATGTAACCATTTGGTAGATTTTCCTCCATTGTTGCCACATAGCCTGCGTCGTACCACCTTGCTTCCTTAATGAACGCTCTCACTATTTGTTTCACCTGTTTAGTTGTCGTTTATGAAATTGTTAGACCTAATCCTCTTTGCATTAAAATGGGGAAATGATCATCGTTTGACGAGTACTAATTACCGCTTCTTTGGCATAGTCCATACAAAACAACCTCCCTTCTCTGGACACATGAGCCTCTATTTCAGCAAACACGCCAAGCAATGTCTTGAACCAGAACTCGAAGTAGTCGGGAACCTTGTCGTCCTCATCGGTGATCTCCCACCTAATCAGAAGTTATAGTTAGCATTCAACCTTGTTTACCTTCCGAGAAAATTTAGTTAAATCGATGATTACCTCTCAATCACTTTGACAACAGATTCAAGCTCGTCGATGGTACCATGGACATCAAAGATGTCATCCAGGACGGAGACGAGTTGAGTGATTTTGGTGACAAAGATTCTTCCGACCGTGTAATCGGGCTTCAGAAACCCTCCCAATGGCCACATGTAGCACTCTATCACTCTGTCTCGTGCAAATGGAAGCGTAATTTCGGTATCCAAATCCATCCACCACTTGGTGAGAATCATGAGCTCGTGTTGGTGCAACTTCTGAACCAAGTTGAAGTCCAACTTGCCTAGCCTTAGAATTGCTTCGTTGTGGGCCTGGTCTTGCTCGTAGATGGATATGAAATGCTTGGACTCCCTTATGGGCAAGCCCTTGAGAATGGGCCATTTCAAGGAATGCTTCACTTGGGTACCCAAAGGTGAGTCCAATCGGCTAATGGGCTCAAGGTGAGTTTTGGCGAACTCTAGAGCTTCATCCAATATTTGTTCCCCATTCACTCTGTAGTAAGCAGCTTCGTACAAGCTCAGCAGTCCTCTGACGTCGTTTTTCATATCTTGTTTGAAATTTTCCTTCTCGTCTGTGAATTTTCTCAACGCATCTGTGTGGCAAAAGCAACACAAGAAAACATTAATAATCAAAGCGGAGAGTCAATTCATCCCGATAATTCGTGTTATTGAAAGATGGTTAAGTCAATAGTAGTGTTTTCCTGGGTAAAAAAGTAGATACCATGCTGTCACGCTAACTTGTCCAGTACGATCACTAATACGATAGCGATCGAATTAGGGTTAGAAAGGGAGGGGGGGGGGGGATTGAGTTAATCAAGTGATTATAACTCACGGGTGGGATTGATGTGGTAGCCTTGCTGTCTGAGGAGCCGGAATCGGAGGGAAGTAGTGTACAAGTCATCCGGCGGCAGGGCCGGAGATTTGAAGCAGAGCTGCTTCGATTTCAGGTTCGAAATGGTAAGCAATGCCCAGCCTCTGCACGGCGTCAATCATCTCCAAATTCGTCTTCGTCGCCGCAGCAACAACTCCTCTCAGCATCTCCCTCACTTCTTCCTTCAATTGCTCAGCATCTTCCCTCCATCCACTTACCATCTGCAAATAATCAATTTTCTTATCAGTAACCTAGCTAACTCCAATAATAATATTTTCCCCTAAATGTTCACCCTTTAGAAGTTAAAATATAGTATTACGCACCAAACTTTGATTATGACATGGTTTAAATAGCAAAATTTGATAAACATACGGTGATATATGCTAGTATCAGCCATATATAAACCAAACATAAAATATGTGAAAAGCGAATGTGATGTTATCGGTGAAGAGAAATATCATCCACACAAATATGTGAAAAAGTGAATATGACGTTTACTTTAATTTGCGTTCATTCATTAATGGCGGGGGAGGTGGAAGAAATTATATATGTGGAGAGCAAAGCAGCTAGCGTTACCGGAGAATGATTATCGGGGCGGGCGAAGAAATCGTTCCAGACGGAAGGGTGAAACTCCACCCTCTTCCTCCGAACTTCTCCGCCTGCTACGACATTCGCCGCCGCCGCCGCCATCTCTCTCTCTCTGAGTTTGTGGGCTTATTTTTGGGACTTGCCAGCTGAAGCAGAGGAAGGCTAGCAGATTTGTGTGCTACTAACTCGCTGCAGTGGCAATATTTATAGCCAGTAGCTAATTAAGCTAGGGCTCTTACGAAGTAAAACATATAGCACAGTACCAAACCTACCAAATATTTACTATTATCAAAGAAAAGTCTAAAGATAACAAGCTAAGTGGCCAAGTGGGAAGTGAGTATCAAGTTGTCAAAGGGTAGGGAAGAGTAGTGTCAGAAACAAGAATCTTTCCATTGCATATTTTTGGTTATTGAAGATGCTTGTGTATGCGGACTCCAGCGCTAGGGGTGTTCAAATGGTTACCATGGTTATAATCAAATCAAATAAGGCTAAATTCCACTAACCATGGAATACAATATCATAACCAAACCGTCCAAACTAATACAACAGCCAAATTAACCAAACTAAAGTTTAATCGGTTTGGTTAATTGGTTAACCAGATTAACCAATATAAAATCATATTATCATTGACGATGAAAATTTTCCGGTTAATGCAACAATTCGCAATTTATATAATGAATAAAACATAACAATCAACACGTAGTTATAGTTGACCCTTAACAAAAATACCTGCAACTAAGACAATTATTTTACGATTAGTATAGAAGTATTCACCTAACAAAAATTTATGACAATGGTATGGGTTAATAAAATGTTGTGTTTGTGTAAATTGACTTAGTCTCTTAGCAATTATCATAGGTTGGAAATTACCTTTCTTTCAAGTTTTCATCCTTTCATCCATCATAATGTATGAAATTTATCTAAATTAGGCGTCCATATGTTGTGGTCTACATTTTACATATACAAATATACACTATATGAGCAATATTGAGCTTTATATTTTATGAGTCTAAAAGGGATGAACGTTAACTCTTGAGTGGTTTTATGCAAAGTATTAAGTATGTGTATATAATATATGTTAGATATATGACTAATTACTTAACTGGTTAATTTGGTTTGACTGGTTAGGAGTGTCTGAAATCAAACCAAGCCATCTAAACCAAACAAGTTAAAAACTTTAACCAAACCAAACCAATTATCCAAATTAACCAAATCAAATTATCCAAATAGTACTGGTTAAAACGGTTACCATGGTAACCAAACCGTTTGAACACCCCTATCCAGCGCTGCAGAGCTTATGGGACGACGACGTTTCTCCCTCAGAAGCAAGTGATGAGCTGAGTAGAGTACGATGTCGTCTTAGGCAGTGTAGAGTTAGTTTTTCAAATTTACAGTATAGTTTACGTGTTCATTTTTGATTGGTAGATAGAACTTTTCTGTTTGTTACCATTGGTAACTTTCATCTCCTTCGTTGAGAAGGTTTGTCAGGGTAAATATGCAAGGCCTTTGAGCTACAAGGTTCCTGCGGGTTCCTTTACCAATTTCTGATACCTAATTTCATATGGTATCAGAGCCTGATTATCTTTTCTAGGGTTTTACTCCCAATTGTCCCGCATTCTTCTTCTTCCACCTTCTTCCGCATTAAACCTTCGTTTCTACAAAAATGGCGACGGAAGCATCCACTGATATGTCATCAAGTTCTACTGTTGCGACTACTGTCATCACCACCGTTACCAACCCATTCTACATCAACCCCAATGAAGCTCTGGACTTCCCAATCAAGCTTACTGGCACTGCCAACTATAATCTATGGAGCAGAACAGTCCGGGTTGCACTCAAAAGCAAGAACAAGCTTGGCTTCATTACTGGTGCGATTCCTGTTCCAGATCTAGGGCATGAGAGCTACCAGGCATGGGAGCAAAGCAACACGGCTGTCTATTTTATGATTCTTGGGTCACTAGATCCCAGTCTGGTGAACAGTGTGTCTTCTCAGGACAATGTCAAGCTTCTCTGGGATGATCTGAGGCAGAGGTGTGGACAAGCAGACAACATCCGCATCAGTGACTTACAGACAACAGTCTACACTTTGAAACAAGGTAACAAGTCAGTGAATCAGTTTTATTCTGAGTTGAAAGGACATTGGGAAGAGCTGGCTCAATTTCTGCCCTTTCCTAGTTGTATGTGTGGAGATCAGGGTAATAGGGTTGCTGATTGTGTCATTGAGACCACTGTTAGGAAGTACCGTGAGAATGAATTTGTGACTAGATTTATAACTGGATTGAATGGGTCATATGGAGGAGTCGAAACCAATTTGCTCATGATGATTCCCCTGCCACCCATGGAAAATGCATTTCATTATGCAATACAACATGAAAGGCAGTTGGGAAAGCCAAGTCAGGACTCTCAAGTTGAATCAGTTGCACTAATGGCTGCAAATCAGTCCAAAGGGAAAGAGAGTGCTAAGGGTGGTCAGGGTGGTCCTTTGTTTTGCCGATATTGCAAAAAGGACAACCATGTTATAGCTGATTGTTACAAGCTTAAGAGGAAGAACAAAGAGAATGGGTCATCTTTTGGGTTTGCAGGGCAAATTCAAGGTACAGATAATACTGGAGGAGGAATTTTGTCAAAACCAGAAACCAGGACAGTGAATGAAGCCAATGATGGTTTCACAAACCTAAGGCTGTCAAATGAAGAATTGAGTAGGCTTCAACGCATTCTGACCCAGTTCAGTTCGCCAAGCTCACCTACTTCACCTGGCTCTTCTGGACCAACTATCAGTTCTCCTCATCAACATCAGCAGCCAATGGTTAATTCAGTGAGCAGGCATATCTCAAAGACTCCCAATTTTGCGGGTAAATACACCCTTACATCACATTTCCAGCAACATCCATTGGAACTAGTCAATGTGTGATTCTTAGATACAGGGGCAACTGATCATGTTACATGTTCCATTTCTAGTTTCACTAAATGTTTACCCATTCAAAATGTCTTTATTAACTTACCAAATGGATCCAAAACTCCTGCTACTCACCTGGGACAGTGAAGTTAACCCCCAATCTCATAATCCACAATGTCTTGTTTGTTCCAACTTTCTCTTTCAATCTGATATCAGTTAGTAAACTAACTAGATCCCTTCCAGTTACACTCACTTTCAAATCCACAATTTGTTCCATCCAGGACCTTCGGACCTCGAAGACGATTGGTTTTGCCCAAGAGACTAGATGTCTATACCAGCTCATACCTACCAACACAGATGAAACATCTATACATACCAATTCTCTCAAGACTCACAACCTTACACCACAGTCATTTGATCTCTAGCATTGGCGACTTGGACATCCTATGTTAGAGTTAAAGCATTAAAGAAAATTGTACCTAGTATAGATATTTCTAAAGTTCATCACTGTGATGTTTGTCCTGTTTCTAAACAGAAACGTCTTCCTTTTCCTTCAAGCCAGTCTGTGGCAAACAATGTTTTGGAGTTGATTCATGTTGATATTTGGAGGCCTTTGGCAGTTTCCAGTTACAATGGTTTCCATTACTTCCTCACCATTTTAGATGACAAGTCTAGGTGTGTGTGGACATATCTTATGAAGTTTAAACATGAAGCAAGAAAATTGTTGCAAGATTTCTGTGTGATGGTCCAAACTCATTTTGAGAGGAAGGTTAAAACTGTTAGATCTGATCAGGGAGGGGAGTTCCACATGCCCGATTTCTATTCTAAGTTTGGAATCACTCACCAAATGTCCTGTGTTGAGACTCCACAACAAAATGCTCGTGTGGAGAGAAAACATCAACATATTTTAAATGTAGTTAGAGCTCTTAAATTCCAATATGGATTACCCCTTAAATTCTGGTCAGATTTCATTCTTCATGCAGTATATCTGATAAACAGACTACCTTCAGTTGCCATTGACAACAAAACTCCCTATGAAATTCTCTATGGCAATCATCCTAACCTCTCAAACTTGAAAGTGTTTGGGTTCTTGTGTTATGCAAGTACTTTGCATCACAACAGAACAAAGTTTTCTCCCAGAGCTTTACCATGTGTTTTCATAGGATTTCCTTCAAGAATTAAAGAGTACAAATTGTATGATTTGCAAGGATAGAAGGTCTTCTGTTCTAGAGATGTGGTGTTTCATGAACACATCATTCCTTGCTTATCAATGGATTCTAGTTCTACATCCAAGTCTCAAGTACCTTTCAACTTTGTCCCAACAGTCACAAAACCCTTTTCTTCTCCACCTTCTGTCCCTGAACCAGACCCTTCACCAAATTCCAACCCTTTACCCATTACACCTGAAAATCCAGTATCCACTCCTTCTCCTTCTCCACCCCCATCTCCCATTACTTCTCCTTCTCATTCTTCCCTGATTCAGGTCACATAGAGACACCTATCTCCATACCTCCTTCACCACCAAACACTTCCTTACCTATTGCCATCAGGAAGCCATCAAGAGACATTGTGAAACTAGTAAAGTACAATGATTATGTCATGCATTTAGGAACCACACATAAAAAGGCTTTGTATCCTATGGTTGCTTGCTTGTCATATGATCAATTGTCACCAGGTTATAAGAAGTATGTGATGGCAATGGATTCAGTGGTTGTGCCTGCATCTTTTGAAGAAGCAGTGAAGGATGAGCGTTGGAGGAGGGCTATGGATGTAGAGATTGAAGCTCAAGAAGCTAATAGAACTTGGGACATTGTCCCTAGACCACATAATAAAAGGGTCATAGGGAACAGATGGGTCTATGCTATAAAATTTCATGCTGATGGTGACATAGAGAGGCATAAAGCCAGACTGGTGCTAAGGGTTTTACACAAATCTATGGAATCAATTTCCTAGATACATATTTCCCAGTTGCTAAGTTGAACTCAGTTAAAACTCTCTTGGCAGTTGCAGCAACAAAGAACTGGGACATGTTTCAGTTAGATGTTAACAATGCTTTCCTAAATAGAGAACTTGAAGAAGAAGTGTACATGGAGCTTCCTCCTGGAATTTCTAAACCTGGTTATGTCTGCAAACTAAGGAAGTCACTCTATGGTTTGAAGCAAGCATCTCGACAGTGGTTTGCTAAGTTTACTTCAGTTTTACTCAACTTTGGTTATGTCCAATCTCCAAATGAGTACTCCATGTTTACAC